GAAAGCAGAAACGGGGTAGTATTTCAGAATAAAATACTGAGGATGGTGACAAAGGCCCTATACTTCGTCAGAAACACCACCCTGCGAAGAGACCTGGATACAGAGGACCTGCTGGACCACATTCGGAACTTAACGTCAGGGTTCCTGGATAGGGCCCGGCAAAGCAAGAATCCCACCGTCAGGGTTTCCTGCACCAAGAAGTTCAACTGTGACCGCAGACCCTTCCCTGCGGACACAGTCTAAGAAGCAGATGTGGACCACCAGCGATGATCAGTTCCTGCACCACAACGAGGACCATGGGCTAACTTTAAGTTAACTTAGGAAGCATTAGAGGATGTGTTAGGTTAGGCTTAGGTTTAGGTTAGAATAAGGCATACGATGTCACTTAAAATCACAAGATTAAAGATCCGTAGAATCCGTACCAGTAAGAAATATTGCAAAACTTGTCTGAAATAAATATGTTTAAAAGCAAAGCTAGTGCCTGTGTAATCTCCTTATTATCCACTCTTATCAAGCAGCTTCTCGTATTCAGTTAGTTAACGCCTGCTCCATTTGTATCTCCTTGTGCTGTGTGTATCGTTCAAACGTGGTAGGAATGTAGCCCTTCCTCGGTATTTATTTGGTGCTTCTGAAAGTGTCAGTTATTGTGCTCTGAGTGCCCCTGTAAGGCCCTGTTTCGATTATGCCCAATACTTGTTCCTCTGTGTCTGGAACCCGAACATCGATTGTCGTCCACTATCTTCCTGGAACCACTATCCTCGCCCTTTGTTGGTGTGAGTTCTTCCAGCTTTTGCTATGTTACTGTAGCATTTCCTCTGAACAAATCGCATATTCGCAAACTCGTGAAAGGAAATTCAAAGTAAGTCACAGTTTGACAAATTATTGTTATTATTGACAAGAGCTATCCACCTGTAACTATCTGTTAATGACAAAGATCGTACTTTTTCTTTTTGAATGCTTAAGTATTTCAATATGCTACCAATTAAACATGAAACAATTTCAAAATAATGCTTGATAACAAAGTTGAAATTCGATCTTCAACTGTTAATATCTTCTAGAAATTTTCGGGAAAAAAATTTTCAATATTTTTTTGGTACTCCCCAAGGGAGCCTCTATCACCCATTAAAAGGAATGACGCCAATTTTGAATCACCCTGTATAATAAATATGTTTTGAATTTAATTCAAAAAATATTTGAGTTTACCTCGGTTATTTCAGAAAACATGGGTTCCGTCTTCTTATTTTCTACCACGCAACGCATTGTTGATGTTAAGACGATACGAATGTCTCTTCAGCTTATAGTTGTAAAATATGTAAAACGAATTTATTAGGGCTTATTTTCAATTCTCTATATTATTTCTATGATTAATTGTGTTTACCACGCTTCAAAATTGATTTTTCCTTCATATACCCTTTGATTCCTTTATGATTAAATCTTCTCAATTTAGTTTAATTTTTTAGCCTTGGATTCGTTCAGTTAGAATTTTTTTTTAACATACGCGCGATGGCTTACATTATGTATGCATATACAGGGTGATTCAAAATTGGCGCCATTCCTCTGGAGGTGTTGTCTGGCGCTGTTATAGAAGTACAGAAAAAATAGTAAAATAAATTAATTGTTATTAAAAACTGAGAAATTTGCAAAAAACTATATCAGTAATACGGCAGCAATGTTTCTCAAGGTAATCTGCCTAATTAACATTGCGCAAATACCTGTTGCTCCGTAATTATTTAAAAATCCGGTAACCATGGAATTATACAGACTGACAATAAGATAGACAAGGATAAACGGAAAATTCAACAAGATTTGTTACGTGGGGCTATACTGCCCGAACTGTACCGACGTTGCCATTTTTTTTTTTTGGTTTGGCCGGCGGCTGGAGGAATAAAAATCTTTGCGAAGACACCCAGTGTTCCAAACCCTGGGTAGTGTTGGATTCTTACCAACTAAAAAACCCCCTGTTTAGTACTACGAGTTTTCGGGAGTTATCCTTTAAAACTTGTAGTCCTCTCTAAGAATTTGTCAGCTCAAGCATCCGTATGCCATAGCATCGCATTCTCTCCATGCTAGCATGGGCATCTTATTAATTTACACCTTAGTTCTATGTGCATGCTAATTGCTACC